ATCCATTGATGATTAAGTACGTTTACAGCATAGGATTCACAGCAATGACAAAAATGGGCCAAATCTACTATACGTACTAGGTCAGCTAAGTGTATCCCTTTAATACAGTTTTTAAGCTTTATTTTCTATATATGTTAAAAAATTTTAAGAGCAATTCAACTAAAACATCTTAATATGCATACGAACTACATAAGAATCGAAACGCTACTCCTTTAGATACGGATTTAATTCGTTTTCTAAATTAAATATATATATATACCAAATGTGTGGACAACTAAACATGTTTTTAAAGTCAGTATATGAGCAACACAGCTACATGGTAAAGTTCAAGACTTAACATGCATGTTCATGTGAGCGGAGAAACAAAGGACTATGCTGATCCCACAATGAAGATAAAGCATCAGCTGGGGACCACCCGCCATCCTGTGACATGTAAATATCATGTTAACCAACGTGAGTTTGTTGCCTTAGAGAAACTAGATATAGAATTTACATGTTCGTCATTGTTGTGGTGCGTGATGAGCCAATGTTTTGGTAATGTTTTGGAACTGAACTATGATTTTATTGATCTAGAAATGAACAAATGATGTTAGTGGAGTGTATAATGAAACTGTGATGAGTGAATTGCTATATCGAAACTAATGCGGTTGTAAACTAAATGTGAATTGAGACTAATGAAATACAAGAGAAGGATCTGTCCCTCACGTCCTATGTGGAGCTATATGAGAACAATATTGCTCGACCAACACCACAATGAGTACTGATCACACAGACCACAGACCACCCTTACCCACGGTCCTAGATAACAATTCTAAAGACGGATAGAAAGGGTTGGTTTATGTGACTGTATTTGTTCCTTACGCAGAAGGACGGTCTAAGCTGCTTTGAAGCCTAATGCCCTAGCAAACGAATTGGTGGTTGATGTGATCGTAATAAACAAGTCTAGATTTTTGAAATTTGGATAACGTTTTGGAATCTTTCAACAAAATAAATATACATACACAACATATGGACAAAATACAATTACTCTCCCCAACACTCATTCTACTGCAAGAAAATAATATATATTATTTTGGTTAAACGTACCATTTTGCATTACAATAATATTCCATGCCTTTAGGAAAACTACTTAGTAAACTTTTTTGTTTTTTACATAAGTGGTTATATATTACAGTATCAATTTATACACCACACATTTCAATAGCCCGATTACAAAGAACATAAAAGAGTTCATGTACTAAAACTCAAACAAAATACACAGTATTAATCGCTGGGGTAATTTGATTACAAAGTGTTTGAAAAAAAGCTAATTTTACTTTGAACAGTTGGTAAACAGACCCTAGTTCTGTGCAGAAAGAAAATAATTCGTTTTCGATTGTCACTCACCCTGGGTTTGTTGAAGGTATTTCTCTGTGGAACGTGACACTTCTGTGCAGAACATGTGGAGAGATCACCTGTTTTTCAACAGCTGATGGAAGAATGCGGTTCGTGAAAACGTTTGTAGTTTTCATCTTATTTAGTTTTTTGTTACAGGAATAGCAAATCAAAATACAAACCAACCATAGAGTTCTATTTGAACACATACTGTTATTTATTGCAGTAATTTTTCGTTGTACTCTTCCAAAATCAAACTGTTGTATTTTGATCTTAAATACAACCAAATTTTAAATGAAAAAAGGGGTTCCACAACTTTAAATAATTCGCTGCATAAAAATAATATCACATATAAATACATGATATTTCAATCGATATATCGAATTACTTTGATAACGTTTTGTACCAATTTACGAATATTTTCTCAATGTTCTTTGATCATGTAAATCTAGATATTTAAGCAAAATGGTCACATTAGTAATTAGTAATTATTCTACTTGAAAATGTTTTTGGTACGTTAGAAAACATTGCAATATTTCGAATAAGTAATAACTATTGCGAATCTTACAATTTTGTGAGTTTGAAATAAAAAAAGAAAAACACCAAAGGAACTAAATATTATAATATTAACTATAAAAAAGTAAGCAAATTTAATTATGAACCGTAATCATAATTTTCTTGATTTACGTTTTACCGCTTTTATATAAAACAAAATATTTTAATATGAATTTTATTATATTTATTTATTGACCAATATGAAGAGTATTGTGGTTTTTAAGATGATTTCACTTAAGGGGCCGAAACGAATTATTTAAGTAATTGATGGTAAATTATGCAAAACTAAATGTTGAAAATATTTGAAGATGAGTTCAAATTTCGCTTAGATTTATGCCTAGATTTAGATCAGTATTTGCCTTTAAAATGTTTCAGTTATTTTGTGGACACCCTGTATAATCGCATTTTATTTTAAAATACTTTATATAAAGCTTTATTTGCGAGCCTTTTGTTTATTGTTTACTTTTTTTCTGCGAAATTCTGTAGGTATTTTTTTTTGTGATTTTCTAAGATCCTCTCCAATAAGTAATTAAAGAATTAATTTGAGTTATTATTTATTTGATCCTTTTACATAAATAATAATACATTTAATAACTGTTACATATTACTGGGAGTAAAGCCCGTTTCTAGTTTAAAAACAAGTTTTTACTTTGTTCTCAAAATAACTTCCTAAAATAAAATCAGTGTAGGAGATGGATATAAGTGAAGAAGCAGATAAAAGACAATAGAATTGTACCAATCGTGTGGGTGTATCAGTGTTTGCTCTCAGCTTGGACTAAGCAAGGTCTTCTTTTAATAAAGTCCTTGTCTGCAAAAAAGGTAGACGAAAACTTATAAATATGCGTCAATACCTTAGTTAACGGTTTGTTTTATATTTGTCAATTTCTCCAAAAATAATAAGCATAAGCTAGGCTATTATTTTTAAATGTTTACAGATGAAAATATTTTTTAACCTAAAATAATAAATATAATACAGTTAAGATATGGAAAATTTCAATTGTATACAGTAATTTGGTAGTTTACGTCACATGGTACTTACATATGTATATTACGCATGTGACACTACTGAAACATAGCTGAACGGTTTTGTAAATTTATTAAACTAGATTCTACAGGAAGTTTAATTTTCAACATTCAATTATTTGGGTATAAAAAAATTAAAAAATAATTGTATCTATAAGCATATTTTGCTACGGACTATGTGCCACACTTCAGGTTGTAAATTACAACGATCGATTCATCAAAACCGTTGAGTATTGCGTGATGTAATCAACGGTTGAGGTCAAGTCAACTTGTTACTGTCAATAGAAATAATATTATAATCACTCTTTCATAAGTCAATACCTATTACAATGCTACTGTCATTTCAAAAGTGAAAGCTTATTTGTAATTAAATAAGCTATTTTACTGCATTGCTGATGAAAGCCAAAGATGATTTTTATAACGTTTTAAATTTGTTATGCAGATTTTGAAAGTTTCGATAGAAATATATTGTTTTACGTGTTTAAAATGTGTAATAGAATGGTTAAAGCTGTTTTGGGGTAGTTGACTTCACTTGACTTCTGTTTTTTTATAAATGTCAATTTTTCATGTATTAATTCCGTTTATATTGTAATAACTGTTTTCAAAAACGTATCATCCATTTGTGAATTTTACACTTTTATTCATAGTATTTACTTTAAACGAGTTTAATGATTTCTATGTTATCTATTAGAACCTATGATAGCATTTTGGGAAACAGAATTTTAACTTGGAGAATACTATGGTTTATTCACAAATGTCATAACTAACAACTGAATTCTTAAAGCCTCTAGTGATAGAAAATAAATAGATTTATCACTTATATTTCTTAAAGGAGAGCTAAAGGTCCACTTGCTGGTTAAACGAACCATGCCATACTGTAAATTACATTTTTTAGACACTGATTTCTCCTTTTCTATTTCCTCAAAAAGAAAAGAATAATCACTGAAATAAGTAAATCGATAAAGATCTTAGGATGTTTCTTTGTAGTCCCTGATTGCAATTATAGAATCATAAAAAAATACTTAAATCTTAATGCCCAGTTATATACATGGTGTCCATGAAAAACGTTTCAGGACTTTGGGATATGAATCCTCATACTAAAAGGAGGGGAAAATGTATGTGAAGATATGTCCGAAAATGCATATTTACCTAGATATCCACAATTTTGTTTTTTATACATAACAATGTTTAAGTTATTTCTTCAACGACTATCGTTCCTCGTTTGGGTTGAAATTTATATACTTGGATAATGAAATTGGAATTTTGTGTATTTACTAATCTGTTCTAACATTACGCATTGTTGATTTGTACTATACTCGTGCTTCAGTACTTAGAACACTGAAATTGATGTATTACATATAATGCTTCGCTAAAACGTAATAAAAAATACTGCCTACAACACCGTAGGAGGCTTTAAAAACATGTTCATTACATGTTGCTGAATTTAATGATTCACATAACACCAGAAGCAATTGGTCGTAGATAGCATAGCAAACAAAATGTTCAATAATAATTGTGAATCAGGACGTACTAAATATATGCACCGGTTAGTTGGTACAGTTAAGACTTTTAAAAACCGTAAGAAGATTAAATGACTTCAATGTAAACATGATTGATAAAATAGATGGAAAATTCTGTTCAACAACTAAGTCCGTTCCACATAATTAAGATTTTTTTAATTAGACATTTTCTAATGTGTCTGAGTTCATGCATGGTACAAAAAAGATGTTAAATTAATTGCACTTAACAAAAAAAAAACAATATTACAAAATGACCACAGCTAGACTTGTTTGATAAATTCTACTCTTTCTTCTCGTATTAAGATTTGATAAATTATTTTATAGATACAATAAAATCTTAAAAATGAAAATACTTATGAAATCTTAATTTTGATACCGATCTAATATATTTGCAATATATTAATCAACTAACAAAAGAATTTGTACAAAATTACAAAATGATATCTTTAAAAAAGTAGGGAAATTAAAAAACTATGCATATTTAGTAAATAATTTATTAGGGGTTACAATAAACATTTGAGGGTTCAACTATCTATCATATTACACAGAATGTAATTAAACAAATAACATTTTGATAATTGCTATTCCATCTACAATAACATTATGAGCACCCTAGAAAATAGTATTAACACTAATACAAGGGGAATCGAAGGAACTAATACAGGTTAAAACAAACTATCTTCTATCTTCAGTTAGACACTTATTGGTAACTTTTAAGGCATGACACAGTACGTCGTCTTTCACCGCTTCTTTTAGAAGATAAAATTCTCTTCATTTCCAAACCTTTTCTGTAGAAAAATTGCAAAATTCAGATCTGAAACAGAAAAAAGGAAACAAGGTTGAATAGATATTGAGGACATAAAAAGTGATTTGTAAAGGTAAGTTATTTTATAAATTACAACCCATATAAACTTGAAAATAGGATTGGAACAAGTAAATAAAATTAAAGCTTTGATTAAAATTCGCTTTATTTTTTTTATAATTGTTACACAACAATTACCTATCCGTTTATATTAACAAAAAATAATTAACAGTTAATTTATGTAACATAGTGTAAAATTAATGTTTATTTAAAGCTTCTTTACGTTGAATACATTTTAAATTATATTTAGTGTGCCCTAAACCAATGCTATATATTTTTTTAATTTTATAATTCTTTATTTAGAAGTTGCCAGTGTCTAAAGTAAAGACTTTCCTAAAAATATAAAGCTAAATAGTGTAGACATTTCTATATTGATTCCCGGAAAAATATTTTGTCTTTGGAAAACCTATTCACAATTGGGCAAAACAATCTTTTGGATTTCAGCAAGTTTTGGAGATTTTTCTATGAAAAACATTAAAAATTTACATCGGAAGTGACTCAATTTAGAAAAATACGTAGATTTTCTCACAAAAAAATGTTTCCTTAAGGAGTCCATCATTATAAAATTATTACATATCGACACTGGACCTTTGTAGGACTCTTCAGAATCCTTAGGACAGGATAGATGGATATAAAAAAAAAACTAAAATTTGGTTTAAGTCTCACCCTAAACAGCTATCTAAGAAAGGCACAGTGGAAGAGCAGACAGGCTGTCAGCAGCGTCGCACTCTGTACACCGGAAGAAGATGTCTCTAACCTCTGTATAGCAGCAGTGTTATCCCCTTCTGCAACAAGCCGTGACAGAAATACGATTATTGCTTAAAATGAAACTTTTCTGTATTTAAGTATATTTTGTGAAAGTACAAAAAAAATCGTTAAATAACACTTGTAAAAATATATTTGCACTTCTGTTTACTAACAAGAAGGTGAATTAATAAAAAAAGGTGGTAATCCTGATCGATTTCCAATTGGACACTTCAATAATCATCAGACCCAATAGGTGAATGACAAGAATCTCAATGGCGTATCTTGTATACTATTGGCTACCGAACTATGGGTAGCCAATAGTACATAAGGGTCCCATGTATATTTTTTTTAAGGGTCCGATGATGACAGTGGAGTGGTTGGAGTGTCCAATGGAAATCGATCACCACTTACCATCTTTTAAATTTATTTACCGTCCTGTGGGTAAACAGTATAAACGTAAGTATATTATTACAAGTGTTATTTAACGTATCTTTTGTACATTCAGGTAATTTAATAACACGTACCATGCTGATAAAGAAGTTATTTAGAATTCCTTGTACTTAAACTCAAGAATTACGTGAAATCAAGCTCTTATAACTGGCCAATAAAAACAAATATAGCAGGCATCCCTATATATCAATGGATACAAACTCCAAAAATTGCAAAGCATCAAACCTAGAAAGTAAATAACCTAAGGCACAAATATATGATTACTGTCGGCTGATTTCTTGTAATAAACATGTAAATAAATCTACTGTCTTATCAATGTGTCTTGGCACAGCCACCTCTCGGTCCAATACACAGGCAACACTTAACCTTGGACACGAAGACATATATGGTGTCAAACGCTGTGTTGGGGGCTCGACAAGTGTAGTTGCCTGTGTCAGCTGAGGTAGCATGACTCACTGTCAGAGTACTCTGTGTGTTGTCTATACACAATACCTACCCTTGGACACAAAGACATATATGGTGTCAAACGCTGTGTTGGGGGCTCTACACGTGTAGTTGCCTGTGTCAGCCGAGGTAGCATGACTCACTGTCAGAGTACTCTGTGTTGTCTATACACAATACCTACCCTTGGACACGAAGACATATATGGTGTCAAACGCTGTGTTGAGGGCTCGACACGTGTAGTTGCCTGTGTCAGCTGAGGTAGCATGACTCACTGTCAGAGTACTTTGTGTGTTGTCTACACACATTACTTACCCTTGGACACGAAGACATATATGGTGTCAAACGCTGTGTTGGGGGCTCGACACGTGTAGTTGCCTGTGTCAGCTGAGGTAGCATGACTCACTGTCAGAGTACTTTGTGTGTTGTCTACACACATTACTTACCCTTGGACACGAAGACATATATGGTGTCAAACGCTGTGTTGGGGGCTCGACACGTGTAGTTGCCTGTGTCAAATGAGGTAGCATGAGTCACTGTCAGAGTACTCTGTGTGTTGTATATTCAGAATACTTACCCTTGGACACGAAGACATATATGGTGTCAAACGCTGTGTTGGGGGCTCGACACGTGTAGTTGCCTGTGTCAGCTGAGGTGGCATGACTCACTGTCAGAGTACTTTGTGTTGTCTATTCAGAATACTTACCCTTGGACACGAAGACATATATGGTGTCAAACGCTGTGTTGGGGGCTCGACACGTGTAGTTGCCTGTGTCAGCTGAGGTAGCATGACTCACTGTCAGAGTACTCTGTGTGTTGTCTACACACAATACCTACCCTTGGACTTGAAGACATATATGGTGTCAAACGCTGTGTTGGGGGCTCGACACGTGTAGTTATCTGTGTCAGCTGAGGTAGCATGACTCACTGTCAGAGTACTCTGTGTGTTGTCTACACACAATACCTACCCTTGGACACAAAGACATATATGGTGTCAAACGCTGTGTTGGGGGCTCGACACGTGTAGTTGCCTGTGTCAAATGAGGTAGCATGAGTCACTGTCAGAGTACTCTGTGTGTTGTCTATTCAGAATACCTACCCTTGGACACGAAGACATATATGGTGTCAAACGCTGTGTTGGGAGCTCGACACGTGTAGTTGCCTGTGTCAGCTGAGGTAGCATGACTCACTGTCAGAGTACTCTGTGTTGTCTACACACAATACTTACCCTTGGACACGAAGACATATATGGTGTCAAACGCTGTGTTGGGGGCTCGACACGTGTAGTTGCCTGTGTCAGCTGAGGTGGCATGACTCACTGTCAGAGTACTCTGTGTGTTGTCTCCACACATTACTTACCCTTGGACACGAAGACATATATGGTGTCAAACGCTGTGTTGGGAGCTCGACACGTGTAGTTGCCTGTGTCAAATGAGGTAGCATGACTCACTGTCAGAGTACTCTGTGTGTTGTCTACACACAATACCTACCCTTGGACACGAATACATATATGGTGTCAAACGCTGTGTTGGGGGCTCGACACGTGTAGTTGCCTGTGTCAGCTGAGGTAGCATGACTCACTGTCAGAGTACTCTGTGTGTTGTCTACACAATACCTACCCTTGGACACGAAGACATATATGGTGTCAAACGCTGTGTTGGGGGCTCGACACGTGTAGTTGCCTGTGTCAGCTGAGGTAGCATGACTCACTGTCAGAGTGCTTTGTGTTGTCTAAAAACGATACCTACCCTTGGACACGAATACATATATGGTGTCAAACGCTGTGTTGGGGGCTCGACACGTGTAGTTGCCTGTGTCAGCTGAGATAGCGTGACTCACTGTCAGAGTACTCTGTGTGTTGTCTATACACAATACTTACCCTTGGACACGAAGACATATATGGTGTCAAACGCTGTGTTGGGGGCTCGACACGTGTAGTTGCCTGTGTCAGCCGAGGTAGCATGACTCACTGTCAGAGTACTCTGTGTGTTGTCTACACACAATACTTACCCTTGGACACGAAGACATATATGGTGTCAAACGCTGTGTTGGGGGCTCGACACGTGTAGTTGCCTGTGTCAGCTGAGGTAGCATGACTCACTGTCAGAGTGCTCTGTGTGTTGTCTCCTATAACCTCTGTGTTCACCTCCACACCTCCTCTCTCTGTGTCGTAGTTGATCATACGCTCGTTGTGGTACCAGAACACGTACTGGGGTGGTGACGGGCTCTGAGGAAACAGATGTTTGATATGAGTAGGGGTGAGATATATGCATATATGGTGTATGGGATGGAGCTTGGTTGTTTGCTTGGTTCTAAATATTTGTATTGCTTTTGATAGAGGGAGTGCTTTATTTCAGGAAACGTTATTATAATTTACGTGATCGTTTTTTTCTAAATGGTAAGATCTACGGCTTGACAAGGGCTTGTTTGGCTTAACTTACCTTTAGGTAATGGTTTATGCCAATATATGGCAGATGTCCCTACTATAATTAATTATTATATTTTGTATTGCTTTAATTTCTTTAAAACTTAGAGAAACCTCGTATTTGCTTTGACTAGTACACCATAGAAATCCAATTATTTGTCAAAAGAGCTGCTCATCTTAATTTGATATTGAAGTATTTGAAGAGACAAAGTGCATTTCCAAAAGTAGTTAAACTTTTCAATGCAATGTATGTAGGTAATATTAATTTTACTGTATAACATTATACCATATCGTAAATTTTTATATGACCATAAAAATAGATTACTTAGTAAGGTATTTTTCGGTACAACCTACAAAAAAGGTCATAAATAATTTAAAATTATTGTAGTTAAGTTTCACTATCATACAAACAATAAAGTAATACACTCTATTTCTTCCTGAATCTCAAAAATAGTCAATAGTATGAAAAATAGTTTTTACATATCAAATACATCTCCAACTTAGCTTCATATTGATATTATTCCCTTATCTGAACTTCTGCTGATCGGATTACTTCTTCTTGTATTTCGATGTATAGTAAAAATGTGTATAATCTTAATACATTTTCGCTTTGAATACAGAATATTTTTACTAAATTATATAAACGCAGTGTTTTTCTTGAATCAATTGCAGCTATTATTTAACTTTAGATCTGATTAATCTCTAATTTTAAGTAGAATACATATTTTCTAAACAACCTACATTTTCGACGATACAAACGAGTTGTATGGTGCTCCCCTCCCCAATATGGTATTCTCCGTTCCCCTCTATGTAAGCCTTGGGAGTGACTACGTGAAGGTGGTAGTAATGTGATATTGTACCAACACCTGTTGAGACCTACGAACAGATAAAACATTTCACATATACATGAGACACTTATTTAACTATTCGCTCTTTCCTGCAATGTATTTGTTAAAATATTTTCAGTTAAAGCTGCATTAGCTGGGAACAAAGTGAGACAACAATCTTGGCATAGTTTTTTTTCAAGCTATGATGGTTTCGTGGTAAGAACTAAACAATCCACATACAACTCCATAATGGTTTTGTGAAGAATTATTAGACGAATCTGAACTTCCTCAGTTAAAGTTACAAGAGTTTTCAAGTTTGAGTACAAATGGATCCAATATTAACTAAATTAATGTCATTAATGTAAACAGTGTTCTTAAACAATCTGGTGTTTGAAGAGAATGTTTTGAGATTGTTGAAACTAATTGCAAGACATTCTGTCTCAATTGGAAAAGATTTGTCAAAGTGCCCAAAGACACCGAAGCTAATTGCCTGGAAAACGAATGTTTCAACATTTACACGAGAGAGTGTTAACTTTCAACATTTACACTTTAGGCCTACTAGCATTAAGACTACTAATAATTTTGTTGGAAAAATAAACGAAATTATTGAATAGTGTGGTCTATTAAGATATGGGTTCCTAACACATTTTACGTTTAAAACCCTCTGATTCCACCATTACTATTGGTATGAGGAAAGTCCTAGATATACTACTAATACTAAAAATAGTAAATGTGATATCAGTTTCATGGGGGTAGTGACATGGGAAGGAGCAGGAATAATGTTCCTAATGTGATTTTAAAAACAATTTTGTATAAACGGTCTGTGTTTTTCCTGAGTCAAATTTTGACTTTCCCGCAATGGTTACGACTACATCACTATTTTGTCCATTAATAATGAAAAAATAAACATTCAATATAGTATCTGTTTATAATTAACATCTGTATAGGTCTGAACACATTCATGGGTGCTTTGTAATATTTAGATCAAATATAATATATCTTTTTTTTTGGGGGGGGGGGCGCTTACCCTTAATTTATAAATAGGTGGTTTTAGGAGGCATACTGAACTTAAATTAAGATGCAGCTTAAGAATTTGAATCAATGTACTGTATATATTTAGCATGCAACCTCTTATAGTTTTGCTACTGATAAAGTTTCCAATTTAGTTATAAGAACAACTACCTGACACTCATAAGTTCCATTGTCTCTCTTTTGGACAAACTTGATTTGAAGATGCCAATCCTCAGAGTTGTCTGCGTGGAGCACCGTGAACCTGTCATCGTTCGTGTAGGTCATCAACCCTGAACTGAGGATGTGCCAGTCTCTTCGGCGAACCCATGAAACCTAAACATGACATGTATTGTATCACTAACAAGTACCGGTCTCTTCAAAGTACCCATGAAACCTAAACATAACATGTATTGTATCACTAACATGAAACCTAGACATAACATGTATAGTATCACTAAGATAATTGAATATTGAATAGTCAAAGCTAAGATGCCCCAGCCCCTTCAAAACACATATGAAACCTAAATAGTAATGTGTTACTAAAATTACAGATTAGTGTTTAAAAAATGTTTAATTTAATTTAAATTCAAATTAAATCTAAAACAAGGCCGTGGCTTGGTTACAAGTAGTAACAGCCCTTAGTACTGGATAAGTATAATAAGCTATATTAAATGGTTAAAATTTTATGATTCATACTACTTAGTTAGTTCTTCAGAATTTAATGCTAGGATATTTCCTAAAGGTTTTGCATATTTCTTCCTGTAGTAAAATACACTTTCAACATCCAAAACTTCAATTTCCATTCTGAATTAACGTCGTTAAACTAAAAAAGCTATATTACTGGGTATAAAAATATAATAAAATAGTTAGTGCTTATATGGCTATATTATATATCCTTGTGACTATCAAGAATTTAAGTAAAAAGCCTAGGCCTACATTAACAGTAAATGTCTATTTATCTTTAAGCTTTTGAAATCAACCTTTCAGAGAGTCTTGTTACCCTTAAGTTTTATTTATTTAGTTTCTACCGTACTTCTAAAACTGATTATTCTCCTTACCGTTCTTGCAGTCAGATATCGCACTTTACAGTGCAGAAAAGCAGTTCCGCCCAGTGGTGCTGATACGTTAGTGATGACATCAGTGTCAAACACAGGCAGCTGTGACGGAGCGGTGGTGGGGGAAGGGGTGGACGTGGTAGTCCTCCTAGTAGTAGCTCTAGTAGACGAAGTGGTGGGGGTGTCAATGGCGTTGGCCTTCATACCAGGTAGTTCTGTAACATTATTATTGGATTACCATAGAGCTGTTAAAGGTTTATTGCGGGCATTTTCCATCCCAATGGTAAAATACAATAGAAAACGTTGGGGACGTTGACATCTGACATTTGATCGTGTCCGCAGGTGAAAAAAATAACTAATACATTACAAATAACATTCACAAAAGCCCAACCTAAGTTTGAATACACTACAGAGAGTAGCAGTGGAATACAGTGCATATAATTGACTGATTCTCTCCATAGTGTATCCCAACTTAGGTTGGGTTTCTGTGAATGTTAGTTAAGTTTTCTCCACCTGAGAACGAGATCGGATTCCAGATCACGAAACATTTTGTATTGTTTTAGCGTTTTTCCCATTTAGGAAATAAGCTATTTTACCATTGTGAGAGAAAAAGTCCGCAATAAACTTTTGAACACCATTAACTCACCTACACCAACAATGAACTTCAAATAAAGAAAACAAAAACCTATTTACACCTAACATTTCACAATTTTCAGTTACTCGTTCGTTAAACATTGATTGATTAAAATGTGACAAATTATGAGATATACCTTAGCAGTTTCATAATCATAATTTTGGAACCATGCATTATAATGGTCTGTTTGGGCAATGGAGTGATAAAACCAGTGGTTTCCGCCCTAGAATATTTTCCGCTTCAACAATAGAAAGGATGTTTTACAGCGTTTTGCGTTGATTTAGTGGATCCAGTGAATGTGTTATGAAAGAGAAATTATGTGTGAAACTGTGTCCAACGGCAACGGCCTGTTTTGTGATTGTGAGTTATTCATAATTTAATCTAACTGCTACTGAACCTTTGAGTAACATTGATTATTAAAATTTTTTAGTTTAAGTATTTTGCATTATTATTTGTAAGAATATTCTTTCGATTTAATTTAATTTCAGGTTACTCTAGCTACATACATTTTTATGTTTCCGACAAAGTTAGGCAGGGGAGCTTGTCTAAGTCAGTCAGAGTTACAAGTTTAAAAAGTCACTGTTTGGGAACGAAACAACCTCACAAGACGGCAGTTGAGTTTATAGGAATTTATTTATTTAGAAACAAAATTGTGTTTTCACAAGCTTATATATTAGGTCTTGAACAATAATGCATTCCAACTAAACCATTTGTATTACGTTAAGAATGGTTTGCAATTATGTTTCCAACTGTGGTTTCAGAATCTAATAAATCCTTACATATTTTAACAAATGTAAAGATAAAAATACAATGATAATTTTTTCATAAAAATGCATATACCAATCTAAAACAAGTGTTTCATTTAAAACTAATCTAGTTAGATTATAATTCAAAATATCACTAAACTGTGCACTCAGATGTACAACAATGCTTATCAGCTGATTGGTAATAGGTAAAGGAAGTATGGCTGCCAGATTATGCGCATATTTTATCCCTATGACTCTCTGTCCTTATAGTAATTTGGGTTGCATTAATATATTCTATAGTATTAAATGTACTGGACACAAATAAAGTAGCTATTCTACAATTTCGATGCAACAATATTATGAGGAAAAGTAGTCCAGAGTAGTTTTCACAGAGGTAATGCCATAAAGAGATTATATGACAAAACAAACTTTGCTCTGAAGGTCACTTAGGTTATACAAACAGCTTGACTGTGTGTACATTCTGGATCCAAGTGTTTACCTTATACAGTTTACACTAACTGATACAATCTAACTACTTGTAATACAATTTGGCTCTTGTTGCAATTTCTTTACAAATATTTCTTTCGCAAAGCAAAAAATGTGCAGAAAGTTTAGTTTGGAAAGCCAAACATATTTGAATAACCTGTCGTTTTAAAGTCTATTTTATTTTGCTTTTAATGATAAGTGTTTCGCGGTTTTTGAGGTTTTTAAATTGTTCTTCAATTCTATTAGATTTATCCAAACTGAATTTATGTTTCAGTAACCTTTCTACAGTACATAAAATGTTTGAATTTTTTCCTTTAATTGACTAAAACTTTGTTTTAAGGTTGAAATGTCATTTATTTACCAATTCTGTTTTAGGTCAGGTTACTTTAGGCTGAGTGAGGTTATGATAGGTTAGAACATAAGCATAATCTAACCTATATTGTGTTTTGCTTTATAACTTTTTTTCATTGTCTAAGCTTGTGGAATCTTTTAACGAGGTATAGGGAGATAAACAAAAGTGTTTGGGAAATTTATCCGAACTCATTTACATGGGTGTGCCGGGAATCGAACCTTTCGTACCGAAGTTTAAGACACCATAACCACTGGGCTAGCAACACACACTATTTATATATTGTTTGTGGATTACCTGCTTAGTAAGTCATTAAAACCCCCTTTAATATTTTACTCTTTCAACTATCTTGGTGGCATCTTTTGCATTAGCTAATCTTTACATGGGCCACGGGGGCTTGTGCGTGAAAGATATCCAGCAAAGCATAGGGTGGGCTGGTATAGTGCAATGACTACTACTGACAACAAGTAGTAGAAGTAACAAATCCGAACCCACAACATCGCAGTCTTGGGCCCAAATTCCATGGCGTTACCGACTGAGCTCTGACACAAAAATTTTTACCTATTACTTTTACAAACTAAAGATTTAAGTAATTCAATTACTTTTGGGGAAACGTGATCATCTTTAAAGGCCAAAATAAAATGTGCTTTACTTACGAAATAGTTTGTGCAGGTCAACGTCCTCGTACTTGGAGATGTCGGACTCGTTGAACACCCAGTAGCCGCTGACCTCGTGGAGAGGGTTGCCCTTGAGAAGGTCAAACAGGGAGGTGCCGTTGCCTTCCTCCTCGTCGTCAAACTCTATCTTCCCTGCAACACACCATAGACTTAGACAAGCTGTGGGTCTAACCTACGCACGGGGATCAGAAGTCTCGCTGAGAATACAAAGGAAACACTTTTGGTAGCACCATCTGCCGCGAAAATACTTGTGACGAGGAAGGGCACGAGCAGTGAGCACTGCAGAAATTCTTACCACAAAACATAGGTTCTTCCTCCACCACGAGCGTTGTACTACATTTGGGTGAAAGGTATTGTGTTGGACTTTGCTCTAGACACCAGGTACAAATGCTAGACACCACTGAAGTGCACCATTTACGATTCCTCTGTACCTTATTCTCTGTGGTAGTCTCGCAAAACATTAATGTTATAATTCATATTATTCGTGCGTATGGATTGCAACATACATTCCCGTAATACGTTCCTAACATTTTAGCTATAGTCTACCAAGCTCTTTGATGTATATCTATTTATGTAGCTAACTCGTAGTAACTGTGGGTAGGTACCTTATTACTTTTTTAAACCCTAAAGATTTACAAAGTTGTGCTTGATCCAAACCTAACTAACCGAGGGACTTATAATATCAAAAACAATTAATTGTTGAAACTTGTAAATCACACCATCCTCCCCAATGTATAGTTTTACTTCGATATAAGTCAACAAAATTGATTTTTTTTCAAATATTAATAGCTGCTACCCATGGGCTTCACCCCGTTTGACTTCATAAGTATTAATACAACTATTGATTGGTTAAGTTAAGCTGAAATAAAAAAAAAACAGAACAAAACAAATAATCACACCTGATTTTAATAAGGTTATAAATTGAAAGAATAACATACAAATAAGTACAGCTGAGGCATATGGAAAGTCTCCTTTAGAAAGGAATCACGACCTTAAAGTTCAATATATGAAACAATGGATAGTTTTGCGCAAGGTTTCTCACCATGACGAACATTTTAAGTGTATTGTTTATGGGAGTGGGACTTGTAGTTTTCTCAAAAGTTCATGGGTACTTTAGGATTTATATCTGGATAGTGGTAAACCTAAGATTTATTGAGACGTCTCGGAAATGATCAATATTTATAAATTAATGATGTTCAGTTCATTCAGTTCAGTACATAGCACACACTTGATTAGATAAACACCTCTTCCTTTATAAATAAAACTTGGATAAAATAACGTAACTAATATGGAGAATAAGTGGGTCGACCTATAATTCAGACGGAGAAACAGTCCATTGGAAAACAACCACTGTCTGGACATGGATCGGTTTAGCGATTCAGCGAATTTTGATGCACCAAAAGTAGTGTTTACCATTACTCTAGTTTTTAGACGCAAAATCTAACACAAGTTCACTATTTTTTGTTTGCATGTGGTGCGGTATGTCAAACAGTGAAACAGTGTTACCTTTTGTGTTTAGACTGTAAAGTTAATAGAAAATCGTTGTCTGATATTTGTAGAACATCTCCCATTAATAGGAGAGTGATTTATTTCGTAAAATATTCTCCTCACATACGATTTACTGAATAAGGTTGGCCACAAGTTAATGATCTAAGAGTTTTTCATAGTTATTCATAGGTATCATAGGTGTAGTGTTAATGATGCTTTATTGAAGGCCTAACCCTACCATATCGGCTACAGCTGAATTTACTACTAGGTCAGGAAAATCCAATCCTTAAAATTGGATCAACCTTTTCCATAAAATATCTTTGCTAGTTTTTTGTTAGAAATCAATCTTCAACTTTGCTATATGAACAAGTTTTGTATCGATTCAGGTGTTAGGGAAAAATTAATAGTGAAATAGTTTTGGATTTTCAAATTAAATGTGTATACTAGTGTTGTGTTGATGAATAAATAAACTAATATATTTAGTTAAACAACACAGCTACATGGTAAAGATGGAGACTTACCATGCATGTTCATGTGAGCCGAGAAACATAGGACTATGCTGATCCCACAATGAAGATAAAGCATCAGCTGGGGACCTCCCGCCATCCTGTAACATGGAAATAACATGTTAACCAACGAGAGTTTGTTGTCTTAGAGAAACTAGATATAGAAAACAAGTTATATTCTCGTTATTCTACTATAAGTGAGTGAAATAAGTTGTTTTATTGAAACCAAAATACTACTACTTAGGTGAATTAGCTGAGTGTTTCGAACTGTTTCGAATGTTTAAACTAAGATAATTTAGTTTCAAACCATGTGTAATAGAACCCCTTGTTTTGTAAATAGAGAAAATAATTCGTTTTCGACTGTCACTCACTCCGGGTCTGTTAAAGGTATTTCTCTGTAACGTGACGCTTCTGTGTTGAACATGTGGAGTGATCAGCTGATTTTTCTACAGCTGGTGAAAGAACGCTTTTAATTTACGTGGTTCTTATTTTATTTCATTTTATTAACCAAAGTTATATCTGAATGAATAAACCATCAAGTGAATCTATTTTAAATACATATCATTCATTATCTTAAACTGGTACACTATTTATAACAGCCCCTTATGAATTTGCTGTTGTATTTTTATGATTAATGATGTGTTAAAAATATTATTTTTAGAACACCAAACAAATCCTCTAAATTGTATTCCGAACGTATGTTTTGGTTTCTTTTTGGTATTTTACTCTTGTAATTTGTTTTCATTTCCGTAGTATTTATCCTACCTTGGTATACAAATTAATAGTATACAAATTATACATTAATGAGGCAAACGTTTAACTAAACCATTCTCAAACCAATCAATAAACTGCCTTAAGTAATGTTACCTTTACTGCCTACTTACTTAACCCCTTTAAAAGTGTACATTACTGAATGCTAGAATCACATAAGAACTGCTTAGTTTTAATATATTTTCCAACCTAATAATTAATAAAAACAGTAAACATTTATGGAATATCGTCCCAGTATCAAAGTATTAGGTTGCCCTAGTTAAAAGTTTCTATCTGCAGCATTTAATTGCTTTAGAATGTTAACTTTTCGAGTTTGATTTGCTAAGTTCGTTAAACTCAATTAACTGCTGATCATTTACCAAATAACTTGAAATATTTTAATTTGTCTTAAATAATTTTGTTTACCGACTGTTTATATTTTAATTAAGGCAGCGAATTGCAATTTGTTCAAGAAGACAGTCGTTAGTGTTTTTATTTTTTTATTTTTATCACTTTCATTATTATCTAAATGATTATGATGTGGGCTAAGTTTCCGTTAGCACATTTTGCCTATACATTAGCATACTTAAAATTAAAAGCAAATAGGTTATCATTGGTTTAACTGAATTAAATCATATTTACTTATAATATCACACTATGTTTTAATATACAACGTTATACCAAACAAGTTCAAACAAGAAAAGGATTAGTTAAAATATAAACCCTTCGTTGTTTTATGATTAGATACTTAATCTGGTGGAAATATATTTATAACTTAAGACAAAACAAAGAAGTGACTCCAAAGAAGTGATAACTTAAAACATTTTCCAACCAATCTTTGGTTTTCACTTTTCCATAAGCAAATTTTCAGATGAATTACAATCATTCAAATATAATTCAGTTGAATGAACACAGAAGAAGAAACTTTCAAAGTAAACAATTTCTACAAAATGAAACACTTAAGATATTGCAAACCTTGAATTTAAAATATGAAGGAGATGGCTCCCATATTCTGGGAAAGCTTGTTTATTTTTCTATGTATTTGAAAGCTCCATTACTTTCTTTTGAGCGCTCTGTAATTTAAATGGATGGAAGGTCTTGATGGCAAAATGTCAAATTCAAATAAGGACACAGTTACAATATGTTATACTTATAATTTATATTTTTCGTATTTCACATGTAGTACAGTTTGGCAATATTCTTTTATATTTAAACCAGCAATATAATGTATTATCATATTTTAATTAATGTGCCATGTTTATTTTGAACGTTTCTTTTTTAAATAAATGGTTACTATGGGACATGATAACAGTACATAGATAAACTTTGGAATATTCAATCATTATTTTTAGTCCTACAAAAAAATATTTATTTTAAAAATTGAATATGTAAGTTATAGGCCTACAAAAAATAATGTAAGACTCGAATCAATACCCCTGTATTAGTCTAATAAACCAAACTCTCAGCTTTAAGTACAAAATAAGTTCTCTTGCCGACCGAAAAAATTTCGGTAATATTTTTGTCATTAGCCAATCGATTATTGATAGTTCTTACAAAATATGATAAAAGTTAGATAGTGGCAAGACTATAGATTTAAAATTATTTCCTTGAAAATATTTATAAAATCCAATTGCATCAAAAAGGCTTTACAACATTAAAGCAACAAACAATAGTTCAACTCAAAGTTAAACACAATTAATAATTAAAAGAAATTTAATTGTGTGAACTATTTTAACCATATAATGGAACACGAGAAATACATTACCAAGCTATAAAACGACACATGTGTTTCAAATAAATTTGTCGTAAAACGTGATAATGATAGTGATGAGAGCAAACGTTTTGTTTTTCTCTGTCAGCTGCCGGCTGCTAGCTGTAAACTGGTAAAAACAGTTCCTGTGTTTATACGGGGAGTATTTTGTTACACCATCTGCTGTAGTGATTAATCGGGTTTTCTGATTGTTTACCAATACTGTAAAATCGTATTTACTACACCTTCATGGAACGGTTGTCAGTTTATCGAGTTAGAATGAGACAGAGTTATTTTTATCTGGGTAAGGCTTCGTAGCAGGTAAAAAGAAGGTATGATTCATATGAATTAGAAGTTTTTAAAAATTGTATGGCGTGAAAATAAAACAATGACAAATAAAAAAATAATATTAAAACATTTATACTTGTTAAAATGGTCATTAACTACTATAGTAATTATTTTTTTATCTAAAGGTTCACAGTAGTTTTTTATTGTTAACGTAAACAAATAAATAGATAACAATGTTTATTGATTTGAAATAAAAACCAAAGTTAATTTTATAAATAAGCTTAGTTGAACCAATCGGTTTTACAATAATAACTTTAGGTCCTATTCTTTTTACTTACTAGTAATAATTGAAAATAGTACGTATTTAATTCAAAATTTATGGTATATTTTCCAAGGCCATTAAAGTATTATTGTGTTTTAAAACACTCTATCTACGCTTACAGACAAATTGTTATTCTAGGTTAGCCTTTGTCGTAACAAAGGCTCTACTCGTGTAGTAACATTTTGGTCCGAAATCCTCAGATGTGGCCGTGGTCCAACTCTCTACCTGCTCACTAGTACCACTTTGTCCTAAAAGATATTTGACAGGTCTTCACTAACTATTTGGGAGGATGGTAAAAAACTAACAAAACTTAACAAACTGACAAAAGGTATTAGACTTTAAAACTTACTCTACACAAACTGCGTTAGTTTAGGTTAGGTTAGGTCAGGTTACTAGTATGTTGCAAAGTATAAAGGTCATAAGCCTCTTACTACCCGAACTGCGTTTCTCAACCTTTGTCGAAATTTTCGTCCATTAGCTTATTTAATTAACTGTAAAGTAAAGTGGGACGAAGTGTTACTGTTTTTCTAAGAAATTTTAGTTTGGTCCAAATGTTACTACAACACTCGACTGTCAATTTAACAAAACCCCCTTCTTGACTTTGACTGTATAATTAAATACTAGAACTGTACCAAAATAATACATGCATTATGGAGACATAACATCCTATATGCTGACATAGATTAAACATATTCCCTTAGTAGTATATTTAATCTATGGTGCTGATTAGCACAATTTTTTTTCATTTATTCTGACGTATTTCTTTTCATGATAAGAAGCGATTTAAAAAGAATTTTCCAAGAGTGTCATAATCATAATTTTCTTGAAGGAAGTAATTACAATGGGTAGTTTAATAGCAGATAAAATCATATTGTGCTCGCTTTATAGTGTCCTTCTAAGAAAGAATTGTTATTGCATAGTTTGAATTTAATCTAATGGTATATTTTTCAGAACGTTGGCAACCCAAAACATTTTTTTATTGGTATTACTGTATGTTTCTAACTGGAGTAAACATCACAAAACAATACATGACTTTTCATCATAAAAAATCCCAGCTGATTCCAGCTCACGTACGACAGAGAAGGGTCACGTTTCGCAGAGACAGGACTTAACTGAACCCGAGTGAGTGACAGTCAAATACAAAATATATTCTGTGTTTGTAAAACCAGTGGTTCACTGATACATTATACTTTAAAAATACATCGTAAAAAATGTTATAATTACAGTAAACTAAGAACTAAACTAAGAACTAAGAAGTAAACTAAGTAAACTAACAACCTTGATTATTTAGGCTGGGAGTACGTGAATAGGAACATACAGTGTAATAAAACGTACTTACACTAACTAATTAAATTTAAAAATGGTGAAAAGTAGGTAGACTATAGGTGGTGTATTTTGCGATGACGAGAATTTCATTTAGAAAAAGACAATTTTAATTAAAAAAATTTGCTTTGAAAGCGTAGTTTTTATTGACGTAGAAAGACAAAGAACACATAATTATACTTGTTTCAACTGTTTAAGTTTGAAATAAGTTTTTCTTTGTAAAATGCAAACACGTCTTCTTAACTAATAAGAAAGTGTTTACAGTTCCTAGCAACCTACTGATGTATTGTTACCTTATATTAACAATTGTTTGTTTTAATTTGTTTAGAGTAAAATTTATATTAAAATATTTTACACATTTTTCTAATAGATCCGATTTTAGATTGAGTAAAATTACAGCAGATTCATCATTTATTTAAATTATACACGTGCACCGTAAAACATAAGCTTATGGTACCCAAATCCATCGTGTTTAGATTTAAGGAATCGACGGAGGTGGTTAAAAAAGCTTGAAAAACATGATTGACTGTCTGTTTGGTTTATTTCAATTCACTGATTATTTAAATTCGATTGTTTTGTAAAAATTACTTAAAGCTAAACGAACCCAGAAATCTTGCGTAATTTTTTACCAATGTAGTTAATATCAGTGTAGAGTTCAATGAACCGAA